TATTTTTGATCAAATAAATGCAGCCTTGATGAGCATAAGAAACTCCTGTAAAAAACATTTAAAAATCGTTCTGATCCCAAACTTTTGACCGGTAGTGTATATATATATACTGTATATATATTATGACAGGGCCAAGTCTGTTTGGGTTGTAAAAATACTTAAAAAAAACAAAAAAACAATGAAATTTATGAATATATTATTTATGATAATTGTAAAAAAAAAAAATACAAAAAATAACCGATTAATATTTTTATATTTTTTAATCATTTGAAAATAATGATTAAGATATGTACATGTATTTAAGAAAAACACTGCACGATGATTACACCACATGATTATTTTACAGTCATTATATTTAAACATTTGATGAAAATCGTAGAATTTTTTCCCAAAACTAACATGAATGCAAACAGTACATTTGCACATTTTTCAATTTGTCTCAGACACCTTATTTTACGATTATGCCAACTAATTTGCAGATGGAATATCTCAGTGTTTCATTCTTCCTGAAAATGTCATTGAATGTGCTGTACCTCACTCTGACGAAGCATGTTCTCATGCTCCAGTGCTAGTCCTGACGCAAGAGGGCTCTTCAGGGAGCTCAACACTTCCTCCAGCAATGACCCCTGCTCCTCAGGAACGACCTCACATCCTGTGTCCAACAGGAAGTCATCGGCCTGCAGCTCAAGTGTTACTGGACTCTCCCAAGAGGATTCTGGGACCTCAGACTTCGGGACGTGATCCTCGCCAGGAACATGTTCGTCTCCTTCAGAGATGTCTCCAGCTGAGATGGAGGATGTTGGAGAAGTTCTTTGACACTGGCTGGAGTCGCTCACTTCCTCTTCCTCCTGTTCAGAAGCAAATGACTCACTGTCTGAATCATTCACCTGTTCTCCGGGCAAATCTAGACCAAATTGAACAATAGAAAAAGAATTATTGAACTAGTAACAACAATTATTGAATTACCATTCAAACGTTTGGGGTCAGTAAGATTTTTGAAATTATGTAATGAAATAGTACGATATAAAATGACTGTTTTCTATGTATATATTAATATATTTTAAAATGTAATTTATTCCTGTGATCAAAGCTGAATTTTCTGCATCATTACTCCAGTCTTCAGTGTCAAATGATTCTTCAGAAATCATTCTAATATGCTGATTTGCTGCTCAAGAAACATTTATTATTACTATCAATGTTGAAAACAGTTGTGCTGCTTAATATTTTTGTGGAAACCGTGAAATATTTTTCAGGAGTCTTTGATGAACAGAAAGTTCAAAAGCATTGCATTTATTTGAAGTCACTTTTGATCCTTTTAATGCATCTTTACAGAATAAAAGTATTACTGACATTACTGATTACAAATTGCATGATGGCAATTGTAGTTATTAACATAATCTATTGGATTACACACATAAAGTGATGTATTCTGACTACTTTTTGATTACTTTTTTACCTAACTGATAATCAAATATATTTCATGCTTTATCAAATTATGAATAATTTACTTTACTGTCATTGTGAAAATATAAACATGTAATCTATAAAAATTTAACTGTAATCTGATTATATTTTGAAATATTGCAAGTACTTTAATTTTTTTATCCAGATTACATGTAACCAGTTACTACCCAGCATTTCATATATATAAATAAATTATTATTATTATTAAATTATTTAATATATAAACAACATTTTTCTTAAATATATACATGCATACGTGTGTACTTATATATACGTAATACATATACACAGTACACACACATATATTATGTAAACAAATACTTTTATTTTGGATGCGATTAATCACTATTAATCGTTTGACAGCACTAATAAATTTATACCAACAAAAATACATTTTATAGAAATAGAACTAGCTTTAAGGTAACAATCGCTGGTTACCACTTTTTATATTGTAAATATAGACAAACCTTTATGTTCTTCTCCAATACTAGTGACCATAATCTGTAGTTTGTCCTCTGTGTCTCTGAGCAGCACTCTTTCCCTCAGGTCTCTTCTCTTGTCCAACATTTGCCTCTAAACACGAATAAGCACACAGCTCAGTTCAACGCCACTAACACAAAAAGATGAATGTTTTTCCATTCTGGATTCCTGTAACGCTCAAAAAGACAACTTAAACAAGAATAAAACATCACTAACAGCTTGTTGGCCTCATATGATGAGGCACCATAGATAATTAAAGCGTATGAATGGATAATGTGAAGAATCTTACGCTGGCAGGCTTTCTCTTGGCACAAGCGTTGGCTTTGACAGCGATGCGGTGACGGGCAGCTGAGCTGTCTAAGCAGGAGACGGAGCTGGCGGGCAAACTGAAGTCTCCGGGGACGGAGCCCTGAGGGGTGCCGGGTCTCGAAGAAGCTTCACACGACATCTTCATATGATGGAGGGGGACAAGGAAGACAGATGTTAGTGAGTCTAAATAAGTTCAATAAGATTTGTTTACAACTTTAATTCCAAATAATAGTACTCTTAAAATTCTTTCAAACCACTTCCCCACCAAAACCTCCATATTTGGGATACAGTTTCAACGGTTTTCGTACTCAAAGCATTTCCTTCCATCCCTTAACCACCAGAATACCAGAGTGGCATCATGATAGCAGAATAAATTCTTGTTTGAGGTCATTCGTGCATACAGCATGAACCGTAATAAAAAAACAGATACCCAGCCACCTTCACCACCACTGACTCATCATGACTAATTATGATGATTATCCTCAGCTATTTCCTTTCAGAATGAAACGCAAACAAAAGCCTCTCCAGCAGAAACAAATGAAGGTTATGTTGGCAATGTTGCGACTGCTGGTCCTTACCGCTGTATAAGCACTGTTTTTTCTCAAATCTGCATCTCTAATACCAAGTCTTGCTTGCTTTTAAAACTTTTATTATTTAAATAATTCTCCAACTGAAGGAACAATTTTGTGGCGACATAAATAAAGCTGCCATGTGTGTCTGGAATTATTGCCTACTACTGTAACTTAAATATTATTCATGAAGCTTAAAAAGTATGGAAGCTTGTTTCCACCATGCTCCACTCGTTAAAACAATAAAAAAGGTAGTGGCGACTTTTAATCACACAATATGTCAATTTTTTTCTTGCATTTCTGAGTTTGTATCTGTATTTGTGAGATATTAACATGCAACTGCGAGAAAAAAAGTGAGAATGGTGAGATAAAAAGTCACAATTACTTTTTTATTATTTATTCCGTAGAGGAAACAAAATACTGAATTGCAAGATGTAACCTTAGAATTCTGAGAAAAAAATAATAAATTCTAAGTTTATATCTGGCAATTCTGATGTTTTTCTTGCAGTGTTAAGTTTGTCTCACAATCCTGATTTTTATTCGCGCAATTCTGAGAAAAAAGTCAGAATTGCAAGATATAAAAGTCAGAACTGTGATATACAAGAAAAGCTGCAATTACCATTTGTATTCTTTTATTCTGTGGCAGAAAGAGGCTTCGATCAATAGGTGAGCGTTAAAGGGATAGTTCACCCAAAAATGAAAATTTTGTCATTAATTACTCACCCTCATGTCATCCTATCCGCATGACGCAGCTGACACAGAATAGCATACGCTGTTTACGTTCAGTGGATATTCTCCAAAATGGCACCAGGGTGACGCGGAGGAGACGAATTGTTGAATAAAGTCGTTATTTTTGTTTACTTTGTGTACAAAGAGTATTCTCGCAGCTTCGTAAAAATTATGGTTGAACCCCTGATGTCACATGGATTATTTTAACGATCTCCTTGCTACGTTTCTGGACCTTGATTCATGGTAATTACATTGCTGTCTATGGAGGGTCAGAGTAGAGACCTGTGCGGGATGGATTTTTCAGTCCCGCTCCCGCAAGATTCTGTCCCGCGCCCGCCCACTCCCGCAGAAATATATCTTATCTGGTCCCGCTCCTGCCTGCGATATTCATGTTTTGTCCCGCCCCCGCCCACATAAAAGTAATCTATATAGATTTTTTTCAGTACATCGAAGAAATTTACATGAAATGGTTCTGTAACATCTCCTAAGCTCCACAACATCTCAGCATAAACACTCCCGATAAAATATTTGTTATTTAGGCTAAGCATCAACATTCACAAACCACTGTTATTTTTAACAGAAAAGCAAGCATGGGCTGCTGTGTGCATGGTTTGGCATGGCAGAATGCGAGCAGCGCTTCCTTTATTATCACTAAAAGCTGACATCTCAGTTAATCGCGATCTCATAACCCTAGTCTCGCGTAGCCAGACCTTCAGACTGACGGCTCTCTCTCTCACTCTCGGACGTATTTTAAAGATTCTATGCCGCGAACTTGAAATATTTCACATACTTTTGAAAATCCAGCGTTTAGTTGATCCTGATAAGCGCTCGTCGTCACGGTTGTAAACACGATGGCTTTCTTTTTTCGTGAGAGGGTTTGGCATCACGGCATCTTTGTTTCCAGGCGGAACGTTAAAGAACGCGACCTGCACGTCTACCGGAAATCCTGTATAATTCAACCAATCTGACGACGACTTCGAAACTCCTGAAGTGTTTCCACTTTTGTGTGCCATATGCATCAGACGTTTAGCCAACGGTCCGTGGGCGTGACATCTGAGGCTGAGACTATCATAACCCAGACAGCAACCAGTGTCAGCCCAGATCCGGCCCACATCTGGCCCGCATGGATTTCACGCGGGCCAGATATGGACCGGATCTGGGCCAACACTATGTTGCTGTCTGGGAAAGCTCTGTTATAACACAATAAATGTATGCACAATGAATCTTTCACAATGTCTACACTTCATGTGTTAAAATGAGAGGATTCGTGAGCACGCAATTTCAGCACTGGGTGAGTAGATTCTTAATCACCTCTGATTGGCTATTGCATTCCAAAAATCAACAGCTGAGTCTGTGATTATTAATGACAGCATTTTCATTTTTGGGTGAACTAACCCTTTAACTTCAGATTAACGCATTTGAAAGTGAAAAAACACACATTAACATGCTTTTAATGGTGCAGTATGTCAGGAACCCGTGTGAATGAGTTCTAAGCGAGACAGCCGTGTGTTTGTGCTGTGCTCAGGTCCAGCTTGGCAGCCGTTTTGACCCAGATTTCTGGAATATCCCATTTCCAGCAGACAGCCAGGCTGCGAGGGTGAACCGCTGGAATGCTTTTCAGACCACACGCCTACTTCACTCATAACCCCTGCAGTCAAAGATAGCCAGCATTCAACAACACTGTCAAATTTTACTAGTCATTAACTAATATGGGTTTTAATGGCCGATGCTGATATGATATCTAGACATCAGGGTGCCAATAAATACATCAACTTTAATACGGAAAATCCGAAAATTGTTAAAGCATCCTTTACTTGCTTCCTTTCTTGTTTCATCGTCCCTAAGCTGTTCATTCAATAGTACCTGTGCACTGCACTCATTACACTACTGTTTAGAAGTTTGTGCTCAGTATCATTTTTTTAAATTTGAAATTAATACTTTTATTAGAAAGGATGCATTCAATTGATCAAAGGCGATTAAAGACATTTATAATGTTAGATTTCTATTTCAAATAAATGCGGTTCGTTTTAACTTTATATTTGTTTTTTTTCTACTTTTCGTCTTTGTATTACTTCATGGTTTTCACAAAAATATTAAGCAGCACAACTGTTTTCAATATTGATAATAATGAATGTTTCTTGAGCAGCAAATAAGCATATTAGAATGATTTCTGAAGGATCATGTGACACTGAAGACTGGAATAAGTTACATTTAAAATACAGTTATTTTAAAAATTGCACTTTTAAATTGCAATAATATTTCACAATATTACTCCTTTTTCTGTATTTTTGATCAAATAAATGGAGACATGGTGAGGATAAGAGACTGCTTTTAAAAAAAAAAACCATTACAAATCTGAACCCAAACTTTTGAACATTAGTGTATAACAAAAATGAATCCCCATTTAAAATATCCAACAGTACTTTTCTCACCGAAACCCAATTTCTCAAAACATCCTCTGGTCCAGCTCAAAGCATTGCATAACACAAACACATGATAGCTATTTTAAGCCCTGGCAACAAGACAAATCCAAAATGCATGTTTTTCAGTGGTTTGAGATTGTTTTAGAACAGTTTTGGATAGGCAATGGTGTCGTGCGTGAGATGCATGTGCACTGAGTCGTAGAAATGCCCTTTCAATGAACACTAGTTTCACTTTTATTTGAAATTCAAATGTAACTTTCTACTGGATACAAGCAGTGTCCTGCTCTCTAATGTCTGTTTCAAACTGCCTTTGACTGTGAAAGCACTTGTTCTGAACACATGTCAGTATCTGTAAATACCGCTGATGACACAACACTTAACTGAGCAAGTTCAACTTGATCCAAACTAGCAGATAAAACAACAGCAGATAAGCACACTCTTAATATGAATCTCTCAGCGCTGGACTTCATGGGAACATTCCAAACATGTTACTAGTCTGAATCCACACCCAAAGGTGCTCGATTCAAATGATCTGCAGTGGTCCAAAACAGAGACACATTTAAATGTATGAATATTAAGTGATACCCACAACCAAATAATTCTGCACCATTTCTCAGAAAATCCAGCTACAGGTTATTCAAAAATATTTAAACTACAGTCAAGCTACTGATTTGAAAATTAGTTAGCTACAAGACAAGCTACAAACAAAAGTGTGTTTCTAATGCTGGATGTCTCCCTTATTTGACCCGTCCATTTCGGAGTCTCTACTGTAACAAACCAGCTGATGAGTTGATTCAGGTGTGTTTGATTAGGAAAAGTCTGAAAATGTGTACCGTTGGTGTGCCTCCAGGAACAGGGTTGGGAACACTGCATTAGTGTGTTTAGCTGGATCAAGAATGCCTACAAACAATTTGCCTACATGTAGATGCAGCTGTAATTAATTTGCATTTAAATGCATGACATCACCATTCAAAGCATGCGATTGTGCTCACTCTTAAAGGGATAGTTCACCCAAAAATGAACATACTGTTCATCATTCACTCACCCTCATGTCATTCCAAACCAATGACTTTCATTCATCTTTTAGACACAAATTAATGTATTTTTAATGAAACCTGAGAGATTTCAGATCCTTTCTGTACAGAATTATCATTTTTGGGTGAACTGTCCCTTTAACACAAGCCTTCCACAGACCATTCAGGCATTTCTGATATGTGGCGTGTGATTTATGTGTGCTTGTGTCACCTGATCATCTTCACTGTCTGAAGCCTCCATGCTCAAGGAACTCTGGGTCAAATCCACTGACTGCAACGATAAATAGACATATTACAATCATTTCCTGTTTGAATGTTTGACATAAAACATGTTTTCCTTAATAAATGACTCCCAAATCAACAAAATCATTTTACCTTACCGATTACAAGAAAATTGGATATATATCACAGTCATATATTCACCTGAAACACATTTTCACTTGTTTGATAGTCTGGACTAGAATCTCAAAACTCACTCTCTCTCACTATATGAGATTTTCTAAATTAAAGAGCAGCTTTGGTCTCACTGTGCTCAAGTTAAGGGAAGGTGAGGATAGGGACTGTGTACATCTCTGAAGAGATTCGAGGGGAGGCAGGTACAGCGAGGGGAACGACATGGCAACTAATCCTGTTAGAGAACTCAGCAGGGAGCTTCCTGTCTTTTCAATCATGCCCTGTGATGTCTGAGGCTCATACACGCTTTTCACAGAGCCAAAAATACCCAGGCATGCATAGCACGTTCATCACAGTGTGTCTGATTACTTGACTTTGTATATGGTTCTATTTGGTGATGAAAGCACAACATGATTATGAGATAACTGCTTCAAAATGTATGTGCAAAAAAATGATATTTCAGTGTATATGGGTGTATATAACGGTTCGGTTCCCATTGATTTCCATTGTATGATCAAAAACATAATGGAAGTCAATAGGAACCAAAACTGTTTGGTTACCAACATTTTTTCAAAATATCTTCTTTTGTGTTTTACAGAGGATAGAAAGTCATTCAGGTTTGGAATGACATGAGGGTGAGTAAATGATGACAGAATTTTTATTTTTGGGTGTCGTCACTTATAAAAATTCTGGGAGCAAGTAAAGGCCTTAAGACATAATCATCAGGAATCAAAATGTCCTTCATCTTTTCATATAAAAAAGCTCTACTATGAAAACATACTTTCCAAAACTCTCAACTTCCTTCCCAGTGAAAAAACTTCCTTCCCAGGGAATATTTATCAAAACCAGTCAGTCACAGTAAGCTAATAAGAAGCAAGTAGGATAGATATTTTTATTTCAAAACACCCATACAACTAATGATAAGAGTAAAACGTGTCAAAGGCTGTCAAACCTAGTGCTGTTTCTGTTTGTGTGTAGCACCTACAGCTCTGCAAATCCTTCTGAATCATCTCAACATTAGACACAACCGACTGAAGTTTATTTTTAACAAGGTTTCTGATCATTTCAGTCTGATTTTAAAAGCTTGCGTGACACATTCACGTTTCATTGACTCAAACCTATATCTGTGCTATAGAAATCCAAGAGTCTATACTGATGCAAGTAATAAGTGAGGAGAGGCGTACTGTGTGAGGAGGTGTGGCCAGCACAGTGCTGCAGGGAAGACCATCATCTTCAGAAAGAGCCCCAGCATCCTCTCCTTTCCTCCCGCACAGGAGTGATGGCGGAGAGCCCAGACGAATCGCCTGCTTCAGCTGCAGCTACAGACAGGACAGAAAGGTGAACTATCGATAACTGTTCAAACAGATTAATCTCACACTACTACTACCTACTATATTGTACATTAATGTGTTGACATGAGACACTCCCGTTTACAAGTTTGAGCTCAGTATGATTTTTTATCATACTTTTGCTAGGATGCATTAAATTGTTAAAAAAATACAGTAAAGTTAAAGTTACAAAAGATTTCTATTTCAAATAAATGTTCTTTTGAATTTTCAATTCATCAAAGAATCCTGTAAAAAAAAAGGTTAATATTTAGAAATCAAAAGAAAATGGAAGACAATCAGATATAATAAGAAATGTCTGTATCCAGTAGTAAATCTTGAGCAGCAAACCAGCATATTAGAATGATTTCTGAAGGATCATGTGACACTGAAGACTGGAGTAATGCTGCAGAAAATTTAGCTTGCATTTTAAAATATATTACGATACAAATCAGTTATTTTAAATTGTAATAATATTGCACAGTATTGATATTTTTTACTGTATTTTTCATCAAATAAATGCAGCCTTGGTGAGCATAAGAGACTTTGTTCCAAAACATATATATAAAAAGAAATGTTATGGTAGTGTAAGATAACAGGATTTTCATTTTTGAGTTAAATATCCTTTATAAAAAAAGGAAAATATCCAGTCCATGCTTTTTAGACACCTCTTAGAAATTCATTCTGCTTTGTGTCAGCTATTTTTAGATGATCTGCTTCTTTCAAACAGTGGCTGATTCCTCTCTTAATGGACTGGTAACTTTCATTGCTGATCTGCTCTCATGTCTGGCTCAGTGACAAAGTGCCTATCCGGTATATCTACGGGTAATACGCTAACCGCATCAAGCTACACTAAGTAGCCTTTAATCAATGCCAAGACACAAGTGAGACAAACATATTGTGGGCATCCACTGGCGACTTTAAATACTGATACTCACATAAATACATTTAAGGTTTATAAACTTACTGAACATCACATTACACATTTGTTTAAGGGCATTGTTTTAGTTCACCTTTGTTTTGTTTTATTCTGTCTATCAGTGACATTGACAATGATCCCTGCTGTCTAGATTGTGCTGGTGGCAAAACATCAAGAGAGAAAATCTCAGGCTCTGTGTCTTGAGGCTTAGACCTGCTAATTTTATACCAAAGTCCAGTGCCTTCACTAATAGTCATTAAAGAAAGAGGACAGGAAAGAAAACAGATACTTATACACTCTATCTGAGCACATGGATGCCACTTTCCATAAAAATGGCACAAAACAGAGCCAGAAAGACTTATTTTTTACACAGCCAAGTTAATTTTAAATGTACATTTATTTATTTATTTTTACATGTATTTTTTAACAGTGTGGGGTTTTGGAATTTGGGGCATTTTGAATAACTTTGAATAAAACGTTTTTAAAAAGTTAGAACAGGACAATATCAAAATCCATTTGATGATATTAAATAACACAAATTTGAACATTTCTGACAACTGAATCATGATAATAATAAAAAATGGGCATAAAACACAATTAATATATGAATAAATCATAACAGACTGGAATACCTGCAGAGATTTCACTTTCCCATGAATGCTGTCTTGGGATGCCCCCAGACCCTCATGAGTCTCTGATGAGGGCGAATCAGACACGAAGACACTATCATGTGACATGGCTTTGTTTCCCATGTTGATCTTGGATCTTTGAACGGAGCAGAGAAAAGTTTATATGTGTCATAAATAATTGGTAAAGTGTAATACTGCATAGCATGTGAGAAAATGGGAAAAAGATGAATATATTAATATAAATGAATCGCACATCACATTTGCTGAGAAATTACTCCCAAAAGATAATTTAAAGTCATTGTTGTGTAAAGCATCAAACGGACATTATAAAAAGTAGCTTCAGCAAGAAATATTTAAGTTTGATTCAACATAAAATTTATTATTTATTAAAATTTATTACTCTTTTTGACTATGAGGATGAGTAAATGATTACAAAATATTAATTTTTGGGTGGGTGAACTATACCTTTAATAATTTGTATTATTATTATTACTATGGAAATATGAAATTATTTCTTTGATGAAATGATACTCTAAATAAGAAACTAAAACTACCAGTAGGTGGTGGTAAATGTCTTAATGATGAAGTAATCGAGTCATTCATTTGATTCGTTCAAACGGCTGATTCATTCAGGAGTGTAGTAATGGTTCTCTTTATGAATGGTCCATTGAATCATTAGGCTTGTTCGACTTGAAGTGGATCATCACCATCAGACCGATCGGTGTGTGACATCAAAGTACCGTGAGAGCGATTAGAGAGCAGACGACGCTGCATGCTTTTGAATCGCTCTTGCGGTACTTTGATGTCATAAACCGGTCTACAGCACCACTTCAAATCCAACGAGCCTAATGCTTCACCCAATTCATTCAAAACGTGCATTAAGAAATTAAATGCTGCTGTGTGTCGCTCAGAGACGAACAGTTCTGCTTTGTCTTTATATTTTCGTTGGCAAAACTGAGCAAAACAGACAACATTGTGTCTAAAATAACACTATTCACTTCTTATTTATTGAACTGTTGTATAAAATCAGTATCACATTTGCGCTCGTGTGATATTGCACTTATTGCTCCTGTGATAGGCTATTGCTCAACTATATGATGTAAATACGAGACAAAAACTCAAACAGGGGCATTTTTACCCCATATCTTGAATTTTAGGGATACTCTAACTATGTTCTTCAGGCTCCATCACGCAGTGAGTTGTTGCCCTGCATCATATTTGTCATCAGTCATCTGTATGAAATGCCAGATGACCCACATAGGCCTGGGACGGGGCAAGTGCGTTAAATGCGTTAATAATTTGAATGTGTTATTTTTCATCGTAATTAATTAATCTTATTAATGCGTTAAATGGACAGCCCTAATATATATATATATATATATATATATATATTAGGGGTGTAACGATACACATATTTATAGCAAACCGTTTGGTACGAGGCTTTCGGTTCGGTACACATTACAAACCGAACGATTCGTTGGATTAATCCTATTCCATTTGGAAAATAAAAGAGCTTAAAGTGTGTGAAATATAATGTTCTCAGTGCCACTGTGCTCAACAAGGCAGCCCAAATTACATAACAGGCAACGTGCTGTCTGCCCCACGATAACCTCCCCGTGTTGGGGTGCGTCGAAAGACGAGGATCTTGTATCGACGATAGCCAGAGATAATGTCAAAAACATCAATTATTGGAAATATTACGAGGATTTGGCATTTTCAATTAATGTAGATCTGTTACATTCTTATTTTTATTAGGCCTATTATTATGAAGTTACTTTTATTATTAAATTTAATTAATTTATTTTTACTTTATTATTAAAATTACAATTAATTTGCCCCACAATATTACCGCATAACTGACACGCTGCGAGGATAACAAAAGATAAGACTATTTGCTCCTCAATTAAAATGTTTTAAAAAAAGGTCTTTTAAAACAGGTCTATTATACAATTAATTATAGGCCTATAATTAAAATATTAACACTGCAGTCATCAATACAAATCAATGAAATAAAAAGCTTTATTTAGCCTATTTAAAGCGCCGACTTTCAAAAACAACCTGTTTAACACCAAATACGTTTCTTCTCATTTTTTTTACTACGTACAGGCCACAAGAGAAATATTAAGGGAATAAATTAAAACAGTTAGCTTTATACCATTATCAGCATATGTTGAAGTAGATTCATCTCTCGTCGTCTCTGAGAGAATATGCGGCATCAGATGCCGAAAGCTCCGTCATTCTGCTTTTACTTTCAGTTTCTAGTGATATCCACTGGCTCGCCTTCATGGTATAAAACATAAATATTTCCAACATTGCGACGAAAGCAGTTACCCCCCCGCCCCCATCAAACCGTGACATCACTGTGTCGTATCGAACCGAACCGTGAATTTTGTGAATCGTCACACCCCTAATATATATATATATATATATATATATATACAGTATATAAATTATAACAGAAATGCAGTATAGTAATAAAAATCGAAGTGATTTTAACTGTATTCCCTCACCCGCGGTCATTGTCGCTGTTGGCATGGATGATGGTTGGCTCTGAGGTGTTGACGTCGTCACTCGATTGACTGGCCTTTAAACCACTTTCACTTGATGGTGCAGGACTTTCCTTCCTCTTTTTCTTTACAAAAAAATTCTTGAATGTCTGGAATTTGGACTTCTTTTTCCCTGGATTAAAAAAACAACATATATATATTTAAATGAGTACCACTTTTGAAGGCATCTCATAGGAGAATCTTGAATTTTGAAAGGCTTGCATAAAGCAAACATTGAACATGTGCTTACAATAAGTCAGTGTTCACTTGTCTAAACAAAATAAGTTCAACTGGCAGACGATCATGTTTGCAGGCCCTCAAGTCTTAGAAATTATATATACAGCAGGTTTAAACAATCACGTCGCAGATTATGACGCAAACACCATTGCATTGGGGTCAAGATGGTAAAGTGAGGAGTCCTGATAGCGAATTGCTGTGGATTGTATAATACTATAATAAATGTGTTTATATAGTAACTATTTAACAAAATGTCATTGTAGACCCATAAATATTCCCTCCTGGGTGCTTATGTAACACTAATTTATCTTTAGTTGCCAATAAAGTACTAATTGTATTAGTGAAATGGCTGTAGAATTGATCCACTGTTACTTTAGTTTTAAAAACTAATTTGTTAAAAGGCCCAATGAGATTTAATATTGAATAATTTCACACAACAATATTGTTGAACACACAACTGAGCCCCAATACCGCATTTAGTGTTAAATCAAGTGATTTCTTAGTTAATCAATGATGCAGTTCACTGTAATACAATGAAATGTTTGTTTTCATCATATAGATGTCTCTATGTATAGTGGCCAACAGAAACAGCTGCTAATTGGGTGTGTATTTTTCATGCATCATGACATGTGACTATGACATCACCTGCAGTGCACAGCTTAAGATGCAGTGTTGGGGATTTCAGCCAGTTTTAACAATTAGATTACAAACTGATTTTATTCATCCCAAAGGTTAAGAACCAGAAAGTCTTAAAAAGCCAAAACAAACATTAAAAGGTCAGTCTCATTCTACAGAAAAAGCCAGTGGTCTTTAAAGAAGTACAGCTGCGTGAACAATACTGGGATGACGACCTTTACTAGTAGAGTCATTAGAGTCACGCACTAGTAGAATTGTGAGAACAAACACAATTCTCAGTGATGGCTTGCACTTGTTGTGGGGAGATTTTTAAAAACAACACTAGCCAATTTGACTGTTTTAAACATCCTAGATCTATTTATCCTAACAACCACTGACTCCACTCCAACAGAATTTGGCTAACATCATGATACTCTGAAGGTATATTTATAAAGCTTAAGTTAAGGCTGCTCTGTGCCTGCTCAAAATCTGTGTAAAGAGAAAGACGTAATGCAGCATAAAAACCAGAATAAATTATTCCTGCTCTGACCCACCTCTGCCTCTAGTATAATAATGCAGTTAAAATTTGTGTGCCTCCTCTGAGCAGCATTAACAGTCCGTTTAAAGAGACTTAAATGGCACGTCAGAAGCACTTCTGTAAGACCTTTGTAGTTTAAATTTGGCATAAATGCCAAGTTCTCTCATGAAACTCTAGATTGCGCAGGCTGATGGGTCGTTAATGTAAATTGTTGATATTCACAGCGTTAAACTACTTGGCACAAGCTGATTGGTTAATATTGCATACACAGTCAATGAGTTTACTGCTGAGTTCCTCTGAAACCCTCCACCTTCCCCAGCTCCACCTGTATATATCTGCTACGGGTTATTATATGCTACTTGTGCAGCAGCAGTATGTCTTAAATTGTCACAGCACCGTATCGTCGTATGCACTGGCAGTAGCAAGTTCCTGTACTTGTTTTGCAGCAGCAGCAATAATCTACAACAACTGCAATAACTAACAGCAGCAGCAGCGTAACAGATCTATTCCTACAAGACCAAATACATTAACACTGTCATATCCATTACCATACTAAAATTTTCCAAGAGTTGTCATGATAGAAATTACTTTTTATGTTTGCCACATTTTACTTTTTCACAGTGCATTCTTGAATTGACTTCTCAATGAAGGATACATGTGATTAGGCCAAAATACAGTATTTTAGCTATGTTACTGCCTACCTTTTGGAACAGTCTTTATGTTTGGTGATTCCTTTAAAATGCTGTCTAGGTAGGCAGCTTGCTAGGTTTTGGAACAGAGCTAGTCTCACTCAACTCAACTCAATAAAAACTTGCTGGAGAATAAAATCATAGCTTTGGTGAGTGAATTTACTGCTCTCCATACAGTCTTTGAGAACTCGATTATGACTTTAGGCTTTGTGTATTGGTTTTCCCTTGCTGTCTGACATCCTGTCTCTCTCACTCTCGTCTTGAGGAGAGTCACATGATGTAGCTCTACTGGCAAAGCCTACAGTCTCCAGCTGGGGCCCGTCTAAAGGCAGTAAACAACACACAGTGAAAGAGATCTCACTGTCTCTTATAAACCACTCAATGCTTGGTTATTTGATTACACAGTAAGGGATGCTAAATATTGCCTTCTAAGAACAGAGCCTCAGTATGTTTAAATGCAGCCACATTAAACACTAAGTGCCCTAGGAAAAAGGTTTGCATTGTTTACGCCGAGGTTTTATTTCAGGGATGTACAATAATTGTTTATGCATGTATATCACAGCAAAAGTTACAATAAATCAACTTTATCATTGTCAAAATAATTTAATAATATTAAAACTAGTATCAAATTCAAAATGAACTTTTAATATATTATAATCATGTCTTTTTCCCAGGGTCTGCACTGCATCTTTTCAACTCAGTAATTTGAAATCAATCTTTTAAGTGAACAATATAGTCCTGTTCACTACCATGACTCATATTTTCCATTCAGGCCTCTCCCTTGTAGCAGAGAGACGTGATTGCTTTTTCTACCTTCAACCACTAACTGCAGCATGAGCAAACAGCCTTACAATGCAAGCTTTAAAGGAGGATATTATTTGTTAGATGAACTTACTGAAGATATATGAACCTATTGAACATACTAACAATTGAGTCTATGACTCAAAAGTTTATTAATGTGAAAAAAATACTGACGACCACAATTCAAGGCATAATCGTGAAATCTATAGGAAAAGTTACTAAATGAATCAGAGAATGAATCTGAATGAGCTTTTTTGTTAAATGATTCAGATGACTTAACTCACTTGCAAGAATCAATGTTAAAGCAATTAGCATGTAACTTTGGATGAACAATTAAAAACATATTCAAAGTGCAATATAAAATCTGCAAGCTATAATAATGTAGCCTACAGGGAGGGTCATTGATTGAATCAATGAATTAATCTGAATGAGCTTTTTTAATGAAATGATTCAGAATATTTTTAGTCAGTAGTAAAAATCTAGCCTCTAGATTTTTGAATAAGCAAGAAAATACTTTAAAAGTGTGTTATAATGTAGAGTACAGGAAGACTTACTGAATGAATCTGAATGAGCTTTTTTGTTAAATGATTTAGATGACTTAACTCACTTGCAAGAATCAATGTTCCAGCAATTAGCATATCACTGTGGATGAACAATTTAAAACATATTTAAAGTGCAATATAAAATCTACAATAATGTAGCCTACAGGCAGGGTTATTGAACGAATCAACAAAAGAATTTGAATGAGCTTTTTGATGAACTGATTCAGAATATTTGAGTCAGTAGTAAAAGTCTAGCCTCTATTGTTGAATCAGCAATTATGAAAATACTTTTAAGGTGTGCTATATAGAGAGTACAGTCATGGCCAAAAGTTTTGGCAGTGACATAAATTTTGTGTTTTGCAAAGTTTGCTGCTTCAGTATTTGTAGATTATTTTTCCACATGTTTCTATGGTATACTGAAAAACAATGATAAGCATATCATATCATATCATCTGCTGCTCTGTGTTTCACGGAAACCTGGCTGAATGACGCCATACCGGACAGCGCATTAAATCTGCCGGGCTTTCAGCTGTTCAGAGCGGGCCGCGACGCAGAATCAACGGGGAAATCGCGCGGCGGCGGGACATGCTTTTACATCAACGAAAGGTGGTGTACAGATGTAACCGTGTTAAAGAAGATGTGCTGTCCCGATCTAGAAGCGCTTTTCATTAACTGTAAGCCTTTCTATTCACAGCGGGAGTTTTGCTCTTTCATTCTCGTGAGTGTTTACATTCCTCCGCAAGCGCATGTGAGCTCAGCACTTCTTCCCTCCTTTTATAGCAACCAGTCTGCTCTTACAATCTAATTAGTATGATAGTGATTAACCTGACTAGTTCTCATTCACACTTTCACATGTGCTGCTGATATGATTAGTCAATTAATGTTAGATGGTCATTTTGTGTCAAGGTAAAAAAACAGTGAAATTTGTGAAAATTGTATTTTTGTGAAAAGTTCATTTTTTGGCCAATGAAGCTTTTAGCAATTATTTAAAATGCATCTGATCACTCTACACAATAATCTAGAAACAATGTGAATGAACACCACAACAGCTTAAGCAGCAAACTTTGCGAAACACAAAATGTATGTCACTGCCAAAACTTTTGGCCATGACTGTATAGGAAGACTTACTGAATGGATCAATCAATGAATCTGAATGAGCTTTCTTGTTAAATGATTCAGATGACTTAGCTCACTTGCAAGAATCAATGTTCCAGCAATTAGCATGTCACTGTGGATGAACAATTAAAAACATTCAAAGTGTAATATAAAATCTGCAATAATGTAGCCTACAGGAAGGGTTACTAAATTAATTAGTCAATGAATCTAAATTAGCTTTTTTTGATGAACTAATTCAGAATATTTGAGTCAGTACTAAAAGCTAGTCTATATTTTTCAATCAGCAATTATGAAAATACTTTTAAAGTGTGTAATAATGCATCACACAGGAAGGGTCACTGAATGAATCATTAAATGAATCTAAATAAGATTTTTTGGTAAAACGATTCAAATAATTTGAATCAGTACTAAAATCAACCATCTATGGACACCTTGGCAACTGAATCACCATTAATTGGTAAATATTTTAGTTTACTCGCCAGACTGATATATATATATGTATATGTGTGTGTTTGTTTGTAAAATGGTACAGTTTTATAAATATCTGAAAGTGCACTCTTAACATCAGTCAGTCAAGCATTATAATATGATAATC